ACATGGTCACTGTATTACAACACAACACCATATTAATAGACACTGGGAGTACCAATAATAGATACTAGGAGTACCAATAAGTAGGGAAGAGGAGAGGGGGGCTAGGGTTTCCTATTTCCTACTCCCACCACTACACAATGCGTCCATATATCAAACACGCACTTGTACCCCGATTCTAAAACTTAAAAACAAGTAACTTTATAAGAAAAATAAATAAAATTCATAAAACAGGAAAAAAATACTGTATTGTGTATTTGAAATCTTTTAAGAAAGTAGATCTTAAATGTTCTATCCACACACACACACAAAAGATACCTATGCGAGGTGATGGATATGTTAATCAGTTTAAGTGTGGTGATCATTTCATGATGTATACATATTTTTCAAAATATCAAGTTACACACTTAAATATATACAATAGCTACTTATCAATCACACCTCAATAAAACTAGAGGGAGGGCAGGAGGTGAAGAAAATGAATCAGAGATATTTATTCCCTTGGCCATCTGTCAGGTGACCTCCCATTGAAGGTCACTGCTCCCTTCAAATGGCTCTCTTAAGTCTCCTTTGGGGTTTCTCAGTCCCTTCAAGCATAATGATGTTAACCGCTCTGCTGCATATTACCGCTGATTATGGCACTGACCTGTGTGGCTCTGTTATACTTACAACTTTACAGAATATCTTTTTAAAATAAACTTCACCAAATCATCCTATTTTGAATGTGTCATCAATTTCCTGTTAGAACCCTACAAGGTATAATTTTCAATAAATGTATCCTTAAATGTACCAACTTGTTCCATCTTATTGACTGTATCTTTACCAATAAGATGCTCCAACATATCAGATAATATAAATTCTCACCCTATCCTTTCTGTTTCTGGAAACCTTCCACCCTGGGTGCTTCCATCCTCTGCTTCCATTCATTTTTGTTTCCTCCTAGGCCTACTGTACAACTGTCATCTTGAAAGTGTCTTTTGATTCTTCTGTGTTTAATATGCATGGTAACTTCGCTTTCACACTCGCTTGAGATTTGTTTCCTTCAAACCTTGTTATAACAACAGCACATTACTCATCACACATGAAAAAGAAAAAAAGGAAAAACAGGGGGAAAGTGTCTTCAGCCTCTTTCTGCATTGCATACATTGATTTATTGAGTTTATTGCTTTTCCTTGTTTTTCTGAGACACATTATCCCATATTTAAAAAAAAAATACTTGTGAAGTAAACTTTATAAATCTTTGCATGACTAAAAGTGCTTTATTCTATCTTCCAAACTGATTGATGGTTTTGTTCTGTATAGAATTCTAAGTTGAAAATCAGTTTGAGTCACTTTTCCATTGTATTCTGGAATCCAGTTTTGCTATGGAACATACTTGTGTCATTCGGATTTTTGCTCATTTGTGGTCTATGTATTTTCTTTCTTTCTTTCTTAAAAATTTTCTAATATTTAGGATAATAAAATTTCATAATAATGTTCCTTTGTATTTTCTTTAATCATTGTGCTGGGCATTCAGTAAATCTTTCAAATCTAGAGACATATTCCTTTCTGTTCTGAGAGACTTATTTTTATTGTTTGCTTTAAATTCGTTCCTTCTGTTTTCTCTGTTCTCCTGGAACACATGGTGAGTAGCTGAATGGTCTACCTCCTGATTTGATTCCTTAGGTTTCTTACTTTTATCTGTTCTATTTTTCATTTCTTTGATTTTTTTTATTCTATCTTCATAAAGACTTATTTTCTTCTATGACTTCTTTGACTACTCTTATGTCTTTCAATCTTCTGCTAACTTATTTTTGTTGTTGTTGTTTATTTTATTTTATTATAAGAATGTGGGGTATAATTCAGGGTTAGGTATACAAACATTGATTATGCAGGTACCCTAGTTGATGAGGTGTGCTCCTCCCTCCCCTAGCAGTTTCCCTCAACTGCCAATCCCACCCCACACCCCGGCAGTTTCCCACTACTGTCAATCCCTTTCTTATAGTATTGTAATTGTTCAAGGTCCACTTATGAGTGAGAACATATGGTACTCTGTTCTTTGTTTCTGTGATAGATCACTGAGTATGATCGACTTTAAATCCATCCAAGTTGCTGCGAAGTCCATATGGTATCCTTCTTTATGGCTGTGTAACGTTGTGTATATGTACCACTTTTTTTTGATCCAGTCCAGCTTCGATGGGCAGCATGGTTGGTTTTTTGTTTTAATTTTACTTATTGCTCTTTTTAATTTAGTTTTCATTTAGTTTAGTTTTAATTTAGTTTTCAAAAAGACTTTTTTCTATTTTTCCAAAGCATTATGTTATCATTTCAAGACTACAAATTTTTTTTATTGATATGAAGACATAAGTGTTTTCTAAAGTAATTTATTTTCCTATGTTAGCTCTGATTCCACCAGATTTCTTTTGGCTTTCATAAAAGCTTACTTTTTTCTTCAAATGTCTTATGTATATTAAAAAAATGATGCACCAAAAATTGATCTCTTGGTCTCTGGGTCAACAGGGCAGAGCTTACTAATTGGTGGGCTTCTGTCCAGGATTTCTGTAGAGAGGCAGACATTCCATTTGTGATCTCCAAATGTGGAATGTGACTTTTCTCTAATATAATTTAGTTTCTTAAGCAAACATGCTAATGTTCAGTTTGTGAAGCATATGCCTCTGTTAACCTCTGGGAGTAAGATGTGGAAAGAGAGGTATGGGCAGTTGAACTGCTCCCTTCTTTTAATCTGCATTACCAGCCCTGAACTTCATAACACTCTGACCTTGTGTCCTGGTATTCCAAATAGCTCAGGGATTCCAGAAGATGAAACTGTGCTCTTCTTCTCAGTATTCCTCTCTGTTAGTACTTTAGATTTAGCCTTCTCTACCCTACCAAATCAGTCACCACTCCTTTGTCTTCTATATTAGAACCTCTCATCTGCATCTAACTTCTGTCCTGTTTTCTTTGTTCTTGTGAGTCTAAACTTTCTTCTCTTCGCTACTACTGCTGTTACTGCTGCTGTTGTTACTACTGTTGATGTTGTTGTTATATTTAGCTCTTAGGGGAGAAAAGAAAAACGATTGCAGCCTGCCATTTTAAATAGAATTTCAATGTTGTTTATTGCTTGTCTTTTAAAAATCAGGAGTTTAAAAAACAGAATGATACTTTTGCAAAGAAAAGATAATATAAAAATAAATATGGAGGAGATGCAATAAAATGTCCATGGTAATCATGTACAGAATTGCTAAAGAACAAAGATTCCATTTTAAAGAGTTTTTAAAAGTCCACCCACCAACTACTATCATATTGCTCACATCCAGTTTCAAAAGGGATATCTTTCTTATGACTCCATTCTCAATTATCGAATTGAAACTTAAAAGAACTTGAGACAGGCCAACACGATACTTTAGCTGGGCTGCCATAAATAATGTCAGGTCTCTGTTACTAAAGGAAAAAAAGGAACAATAAATACTGGGGTGACAACCAACAGATTCAGACAAATATCTACTGTGCCGCCATCTCTGTGCCAAACATGGAGAGTAGAAAAGAAGTAATATATTTTACTTATATTCTTCATAAGTTGTGGAAATGAGATAAGAATCCATTAAAAAGAAAAAGTGGCTTATATTATTTTATAAATTACATGCAAAATTGCTTAAGGCATACAGAAAATAAATGCTGAATAAAACTAATCAGGGAAAAATTATTGAATGACATGAGTCCTGAGATAATACCTAAAGGAGTTCCTTGGAATAAAAAAGTTTTTTTCCAAAAAAAAAAGGGAATATCCAGTTATCCTCCAGTTTTACTAAGAATACAATAAAAAGGAAATATGCCTACTCTGTTTTGTTCTTTTAAAAAATTGAAAACAGCCAGGCCCGGTGGCTCAGCCTGTAATCCCGCACCTTTGGGAGGCTAAGGTGAGTGGATTGCCTGAGCCCGCGGGTTCGAGACCCCCTGGGCAACTTGGCAAGACCTCATCTCTACAATAAATACATAAAAAAAAAAAATCAGCCGGGCATGGTAGCGCATGCCTGTAATTCCAGCTACTTGGAAGGCTGAGGCGAAAAGATCGCCGGAGCCCAGCAGGTCGAGGCTGCGGTGGCCAGGAGCGGCCACTGCACTCCAGTCTGGGTGACAGAGTGAGACTCCAACTCAAAAAAATAAAAATAAAAATAAAAAATTGAAAACAAATCAACTAAATATTTGTCATAGAACTACATCTTGCTAGCCATTTCAATAGTTCAAGTGCCAGTTCATTTTATTTTCTTTAATTAACGTAGTCTGTGCACTACAAACTTTTTTCAAAAAATAAAATTGCTTCCAGTGAAAACAGTATCATAGTATCAGGGTGGAAAAGTATTCAAATTTTTCAAGAGACTCTTGTAAAAAATTCTTTCTACCTCAACATATGTAAAATGCTCTCTTTTTTTCTCTTCTACAGAAACCATTCTTCAGAAAATGTGTCAATTTATACCAATTCCTTTTTTTTTTTGCATGCAGTGTACATTTCCATGGCTGCATTTGTTATATTGTATTATAATCATTTCCTTACAAATCTGTTTCTCCTGCTGGATTTTGCACTATCCATGGGAAAAGACTAAGTAAGAACAACAACAACAAAAAAAGAAAGACAGAAAAGGAGGTATCAAGAATGCAACTCCTGGAAGTTAGACTTATTTTTTAAAAAGCAATGCTCTGACTATGTTGGAATGTTTTTCTCTTATAACTTCATTCTAAATCACTGAGTTTAGTTTAAGAGAATTTGATGTGAGTAGAAATGATCCAAAGAAGTTAAAGGAGATGTTTTGTAGCAGTGTTTACCTTTTCACTCTAGAAATGGAAAAGATAAGCTTTGTCAGGACGGAAAGGTTTAAGTTTAGCCCACCTACAATAGCCTCCAATTATTTCCTGTTAGATAAAAAGTAAAGGATAGTTGAATCTTAGGGAACAGTCCTTAAAATTATTCATACATTAGGGACCATTGGAGGAATACACTAATAATCTGATTTTGCAATCCTGACAAACTATCCCTTTTGCTTTTCCATCCAGGAGACCTTGCGACTCCATAGTCGCTTCATGGCCTTCTTTACACCCTCATTACTCAGAGTATAGATGAATGGGTTTAGCATTGGTGTGATAGTAGTATAGAACACAGACACAGCCTTATCCAGTGGAAAAGTAGTGGATGGACGAAGATAGATAAAGATACAAGGGACAAAGAAGAAAGTTACGACAGTCAGATGAGATCCACAGGTAGAGAGAGCTTTGTGTCGACTTTCTGCGGATGGTTTCCGAAGACTAAACAGAAGGACTGTGTAGGAGGCCAGAAGAATGAGGAAACACCCCAGAGAAATGAGACCACTGTTGGCAACCACCAACATATTTACCAGAGTTGTATCAGCATAGGCAAGTTTTAGGACTGGGTGAACGTCACAAAAGTAGTGGTCTATGATCTGAGCATTGCAAAAGGGTAGCTGGAAGGTCAGGAGGGTCTGAACAAAAGAACGGCCCAGGGTTCCTAACCAGGACAGTACTGCCAGTAGAGTACAAGCACTGGCACTCATGATGGCAGTATAACGAAGGGGATGGCAGATAGCAGCATAGCGATCAAAAGCCATGACAGTCAAAACAAAAACCTCTTCACAGCCAAAAAAGTGGAAGGTAAACATCTGAGTTATACAACCCCAGTAGGAAATAGTCTTTTTTTCCGAAACAAAATCTGCAATCATCCTGGGTGCTGTGGCTGAGGAATAGGCAACATCTACAAAAGACAGATTACTGAGAAAGAAATACATGGGTGTGTGAAGCCGGGGATCAGAAAAGACCGTAAGAAAATGAGAAAATTTCCCACCATAATCACAGTATAAAAGAAAAGAAATAGAGCAAAGAACATCAATTGTGTTCCAGGATCTTGAGAAAGTCCCAAGAATATAAACTCAGTGACATTGTTGGCCACTTCCATGGGACCTCAGGCAGGACTGGTGGAGTGGCTTTGGTTCTCTGCAAAAATAAACAAATGCTATAAACCAGTGTAAGCATGGTGAAGCATAACAGGAACTGTCTTATAAAAATATCTAAGTGATGTTAAATATGGTAGAGGGAATTCTTCATATTTCTTGAACATAAGTAGTTCATGGTTGTTTTTGTCTTCATTTTTTTTCCATATTATTGACTCACATTTGAATTTCTCTTACAATTAGTATTACAGTTCCTATACTCCAAGCAAGAATACAGAAAACCTGGGATTTTTTTCTCTAATGAATTTAATGTTTTTCCGTAACCAGTGCTCTCTTTCTATAATACTCACCCCACACCCCAGTTCACCCAACTCTTCTCAACTGAAATTCACTTGGAGTGAAAATTTCAATTGTTTATTAAATAGATTAATTAATTTTGAGTCAAAAACATAAAGTCAGAATCTAAGATCTGATGTCTAAAATTTCAGATGAATTTTTTTGATATAATGTATGCAGATCACCTATTAAAAAGTAACCTGTTAAAAAATAAATCAAAAAGAGGAAGACTCAGCTTCCAATTTCAAAACTAGATTAAAAATCTAAATTTAATTTAAAACAGAGTCATTGTTAGTAACTGAGAACAGCATACACAGTGACTTCCTGCTTATCAACAATTCATGCTTATAAATCAACATTGAGGAAGTCTGACCTAAACCTTGACTATCATGTGAAAGTTCCATTTGACTTGACAGTAAGAAGTGATCAACCTATTACAGAGAAATACTTTTTTATGTGTTGTTTTAAAGAGTTGAAAAGTTTAAAAATTATTGAAGTCCCTACCATTCCCAATGCCTTTACCTTGGAAAAAAATCCAGATAAGTCTCCGTCTTTGTAGGTAAGTTAGGGATAAAAATTTTCCATATAAATAATGCTAAAAATGATAGTTTAAAAATATGTCTGACACCATTTCATAATATATATATGGGAGTGCTTAAGACATACAGAGAAAAATATTGAATAAGAATAAACAGAGAAAAAATCTTACAAGAGATGAATTATGAGACAAGATCTAAGTTCCCTGAAATAGACATGGGTTTTCTGAAATATTGCAAGTTACTGGCTGTTTGTCATTTTTACTCAGAGCACTTATTTTCTGCATGGATAGTGGAAAGAGCAATGCCCAGAATCTGAGTTGTATAAGTTTGAGCACCTTCAACTACCATAACTTTGGGCAAATCTGTCATCTCTGAATCTGTTTTCTCATCTATAAAAGATGGATAATAACATATATTTGCCTCAGAAAGTTATTTCAGAATTAAAATGAGAACTTCTATGAAAAGTTTTATGTATTTACAAAGCATTTTACTTCATAATTTGAATCTGTAAAGTAGATCCACTAAGTAGAATTTGCAACTTGATCTAATCAGCTATTATATAAAATTTACATAGTGTCAGTACTACAATCATATATAATTTTATTTCCCATCTCCATTGTGGACATACTATTAATAGTTGCTAACATTTGCTGAGCATTTTACTATGTGTAGTAGTGTGCTAAACTCTTTGTATATATTACCTCATTCTCTCCTCACAACAGTATAATTTTTATTATCTTCACTTTACAGGGCAGAGCACCAAAGACAGGTTTGATAGATTATCCAATATAATAATCAGTGTAAGGACTGGTATTTGAATTGTGGTATTCTTACTCCAGAAAATACAAATACACATCTTCTTAAATAAATATGTAGATAGAAAGATGATACATGAACTCATAAATAAAGAACTCAATTTAAACAACCAATTCCTTTCTTATGGTGCCAGATACATTAGTTGGAAAATATGCTCCATGTCCCTAAAATCTTTGAATATTCTATGCACTATACCAGCAAAGCTAAATTGTACTCAGTCATCACCAATTGGCAAAGCCATAAGTATTGAAAAACATTTAAGTAAATAGAAAACACTTAGATACTACTTACTATGTACCAAGAATATTCTAAGTATAGAATTTGTAATTTGATCTATTCAGTTATTATACAAAAGTTAGTATAACCACTGTGAATTATTAAAATTCATATATAATTTTATTTCTGAAATAATAGCTATCACTATAAAAATGACATATAATAGCATTTAATTCCCATAACAATTTTATAAAGTAGACTATTATTATTATACCCACTTCAGAAATGAGAAAACTGAAACAGAAAGTAACTTGCCCAGGGTCACAGAGCTAGTGATTGGTAGAGTTGGTACTTGAGTGTAGGCAATGAGACCTCAAGATTTTTTTTTTAATAATTATGCATGTGGTGGATCTGATGGCATCAAAGCTACCAAATATCTTCTTTCTCATTTGAAAGTCTTAAAACTTTACAAAAGTCAAAAGACTCATTTCCTTCAAATCATGAATGAAGAGTTGGGTTTTTCAACTGTATACACTATTTAAACACAAAGACTATGGCTACAACTGGCAAGATCATCACAATATACAGTTTGTGCCCAATTATGCTCAAATTAAACTTACAGTGGGGATGAAATGACAAGTAATGTGATACTGATCATTAATTCAGACATTATTTTATTTGACGTGTTGACAGTCAAATGGAGGAGGTTTGCATGTAAAGTAACTATCACAATTCTCTGTGAAAGGGCTAAGAAAGCCTAAGCAAGTCAGTGTCACCTTTCCAGGGGTCATCACTAAGTGGAATTTTGAAAGATGAGTTAGAGTTAACCTGATGACAAAGAAAATTGCAACGTGGGGACAAAAAAAAGTAGACAGGGCAGAAAGGACATTCAATTTTGGTGAATAGGATATATGAAAATAAAAGGTATGAGTCATTATGGTACCCTCTACAGAGAATGCCAACAGGTTTGATATGATTCAGCACAGAAACCATGTAGGGAAGAATCAGATTAAGCTAAAAAGAAGACACGTGCAGATCATAGAGTCTTATGGGCTAAGCTGAAGAGTTAGGAATGTATCCTGAATGATCTGAGTTAACAAAGAAAGATCACTCCTGCAGCAGGAGGGCAACTATGGCGGGGGAGGGTGGTGAAAAGAAGTTGTGAAGAAGAGGACTCCAGGTACCCAGCTTGCTCAGGTTCAAATTCCAGCTCTACCATTTGCCAACTGAATGACTTTAGTCAAGTTACTTAACTTCTCTTTGCCTCAGTTTACTCAAGTGTAAAATGTGGACAAGTAATTCTATATAGAGAGTTATAATGATTAAATATATGTTAATATAAAGCACTGTGTTCATCACATATGTTAAGTATGTAATCATCATTATCCATCTTAGCTACCAGAGAACATGCTGGACAAAAGGAAAGACAGAAGCCCAGATATAAGTTATCTTAGAACACTAACCTCCTTACCATGTTCATCTCATAATTCTCATATATATGAGAAATCTCATATATGTATGTGTGTGTGTGTGTGTGTGTATATATATGTATATATATATATGATTGTCCAATATATGCACACACTTATGTAGGACAATTTACCTAATCAGTCTTTGGTGCTCTGCCCTTTAAAATGAAGACAGCAAAAATTATGATATATATAAATTATGATACATATATCCATGCTTGTCAAAGTCTTAGAGAGTGTATCTACTGTTGACAACTATCCTCTCAAATATATTTATTTGACTGGAGTAGCAACAACATGTTATCCATACCCTTGCATAGCTTTCTTTAAGAGTTCAAGCACTTATATCCAAAAATGTTTGGACAGCTACTATATTTATCCTGAGAGGTAACAACTCAGCTTCATTTAAGATTCCCCTTAAAAGATCATACAATTAATAAAAACCTAGCATCCAAGATCTTTCTACTATTTTCAGTAGGAGAAAGAGCACAGGATTTAAAGATAAATCATCTAGGCTTGACCCCCAGCACTGCGCCTTACAGACTGTGTAACATCAACATAATTTTCCTAACTTCTATCAGCCTCAGATTTCTCCTCTGTGAAATAATGCTACCCATAGTAAGGATCAAATTAGATAATGAACACAAAGATAATGAACACACATAAGAAATCTTCCAAACTCAAGTCATGACCATTTTAGTGGTGGAATTTTAGGAATATCAATACCAGACATCCAAACTCTGTGGACCAGAACTTCTATGGGTCTGATTAGTTGTGCTGGTCTTCTCATGTTCTAAGGTTAAATTTTACAGGAAAGTGCCAAGGAATATACATTAATTATAACAGAATCTGTGCAGTTAAAGTAGCAAGGCTGTCTTTATTTAACTTCATAAGCCCCCTAAATTATTCCCAATAGACAAAACAGCAAAGAATGCAGCTCCTGAAATCCTCTGTGAAAGAGATTTAGACTTGTTTCCTTCTGTGAGTGATGTACAAACGGCAGAGATAAAAAATTCCAGGTCTCTCCTCACAGCAAGCTGCATCCTATGGAAATCTTTTTGTGCAATAGTGTCCCTGACTCCAGTATCCCTCATAAAGGAATGATGATACATGGGCATATTTTCATGTCACTTGTCACTCAGTATCATTATTACCTATTAATCCTATCCTTTCCTCTAAAAGGCCACTATTGAGAAAAAATTTACTTCTTGTTTGTGGAACTGAAAGACAAAGAAAAATAACCTGGGCAAGTCAAGTTTTACAAAACAAATGAAAACGAGTTAATATAACACATGTAGAGAGTAAGATATCTTTTTGATCTTCTATATTTCATACAACAGTGATATTAATTTGCCCTTTTGCTTAATAAATATTTAGTGAGTACATTCTACATGACTGGTACTGTGTTGTGAATATAAAAAGATGTATAAAAACTAATTCCTGACATAAAGTCATTTATTTTAGAGGAACTTTTCAATTATCTCCCCAAATCTTCCTAGCCTGGAGTATAGCTTATGTTAAGTCCTACACTTACACAGATATAAAGAATCTTAGTGAATGCTTGATTTTATCCCATACATATAACTACTAGTGAAACAAATCAGGCACAGAAAATAAATTGAATTACCTGGGCTTACAATCAATGGTAAAACTAGAGCTAAATTCCTATTGCAATAACACTGATATGCACTCTAAACCCTAATATAATATTTTCTAAATTACTTAGTAGAATTATTAGAAGAGATGTAAAGCAGATGACAAATTTAAAGTCTCCACTTTATTCTTAAATATAATTATCATCCATGAAAATTGCCCTAGCCTCTTTCAGCAATGGTGAAGGTTTAATTCCAGAGGGAAACTTACCCTGGCTATCTTACCCTGGCTATCTTCTTGAGTATGGTCCCACCACATGAATTTGAACAACCTGAGATCTTTAGATCAAAAACACCTTCTGATATAAAATGTGATCTATACCCAGATATACACACTAAAAGATTGAGATATCTATAATGATTCTTCTTGTATGTCTGTGCCACATTTCCTGTCCTACAGCCAAAGAAAAAGTCCTGAGTGTGTTCTCCTTACCCTCCTTTGCCTTCTCCACTCCTCTCCTCTTCTCCCCTCTGCTTTCTTCCTCTTCTCTTCTCTTCTCTTCTCTTCTCTTCTCTCTCTCTTTCAAACAGATAGAGTTTGCAACCATGCCATGGCTTCTGATCTTGGTCCACAAGTAGAAACTCTCAGCAGTCTTTATGCATCATCAGAACCCTGAAGGAATTGCTGGGCAGGTGAATAAGTAGAAGCTGGAGAGTATTGTTAGAAAGAGAAAGAGCACATGTAATCCCACTAAATAACTGTTTGTAAAGCTATGTTGAAAACTAGCTAGCAAATTGTCAGGCCATTTCCAATTTTGCACAATTTATTCAAAGTTGATGGAAGTGTAAGTGATGCTTTGGTTATGTGTCATTACATTGGACCATTAATCAATAAAATAACACTTATTTACTTATAAAACTATTAAAATATTTTACTTTATTTTAAAATTTGCTGCAGTTCAAGTTGGCAAGCAAAATGTATAATTCACTGGCACCATCAAGACTCTGACTCAGTCTTATTATTGCATGAGAGCCTGACTAAAGCTAAGAATTACACCTCTACAAAACATTATTTTGTATATGACAAATAATACAATGGTTACTTGTCAAATAAATAAGAAACTGTGCACAGAAATGGGGGGAGAAGGATTCAAATGTTCATTAAAGAGACAAAAACTAGAACTGCACTTTATTTGCATTATAGATTTTATTATTTCCTCTAACTAACAGAAGCTCATCCAGTGTTTTAAGGTATTTATTTATAGAATAATCACGAAAAGCTTTTGGGGGACACAAAACACATAAGGACAATAAATCATTAACTGGTATAATAATAAATTTAATGAACAACTTGAGTAAGCCATTCTATTAAGGAAAACTAATAAAATCTGAACAAAAGATAGAGTTTAGTTAACAATAAAGCATCATTACTCATTTATTAATTGTGATAAATGTGTCATAATAATGTAAAGGAGCAATAAGGAAAGTGGCATGAGGTTTAAAGATACTCTTTGTGCTATCTTTGCAACTTTCCTATAAATCTAAAACCATTCTAATTTTTAATTATTTACATTTTTAAATGATTGTATAAAAAGCCTTAAAAGTATGTTTTTAACCAGAAAATTTCAAAAAATCACTTAAAATATTATTTTTACATAATTTTGATGACATGTATATCACCTAAGAAGTGTCTACATATGGTCAGAACTCACTACATTTTGAATAACTATGCTGCTACTATTAATTAATTGTTCTGATAAAGTGAAAGGGAAACAAGGCTGAAAGAAAACTGTACAATTGTTTGATTAGAGCTTTGCAAGTATCATTTTGTTTAGTTTTTCTGAGATATCCCTATGAGGGATCATTCTGTCATTTCACACACTACTCTCTGGATTATATTATTGGCCTCAGTGTACAGACACACTACTCTCTGGATTATATTATTGACCTCAGTGTACAGACAAAATGTTGAGTGGTTAAGACTTGCCCTTGGCAGGTAGAGGAGCTGCACTATGGTGAGATCATTTGACTACAGAATCCACAATTTAGACCTCCCTGCTCCACTCCCCCCAATCATCCAGCCTCACATATTGCCTTAGAACGCTATTCACCTCCCTCTAGTAGATATTGAGAGACTCTATAATTAGATATTTGAATAGTCCTTAGTGGAAGACTCAAATGTCAAGATATCTACTATATCTCCAGGCACACAAAAGGCACACAGTAATAGCTGTTGAATTAATAAATTGATAATAATGTAATAATGAATACTAAAATACCTAAAAATCACAAGCAGTTGTTTATTAGAGGAACATCGCCAAGAAATATTTTCTCTGACTTGAGAGTAAATGTTGTAATGGTCTGCTGACTCCTCTCTAACAATATATTCTAGTTTCCAAGACACAGAGAGAAAACTTTGGCAATGAAGGGGTACAATTTCTTAATTTATATTGACCCATTCACAACGTGTATGTTAGAGCTAGGTTATAAATGTGCATAGCCTTAGATTCCCATGTTGTGTCTTGGAAAAATGAAGTTGACAGTTCTCCTATGATTTCTTAAATTATACTTATCTTTGTCTCCTTTAAGTTGTTTCAGTACCCTAGAGGGCCACAAGAGCTGGAGAGAAGAGACAGATTCACCCCAAATATATGTGGGACCTAGGGCAAGAGTACAAATGAAGAGGCCCAAGTAACATATGTCTAAAAGCCATGAGCCAAGCTAACAAAATATAAGTAAAATATCTTCTCATAACCTCATAATTATTGGAAGGCCAGTTGCCAATCTCAAACCCTCAGACTCCTTGAATTTATGCACCAGAACATATCAGTGTGAACAGAGCAGGTCTTTGGCCCTCAGCCTACAGGTCACCTCTTCTCTTGTTCCAAACTTCATCATAAGGGGTCTCCAAATATGAATGTGGGCCCTGTTGCCCAGATATTCAGATTTTGTCCACTTTAGATACAGTGTCCATCAACCACTTCCTCAGTAGAGGTGTGCACACACAATGGTAGGGTTCATTTTCAGGAAGAAACACCCAAAGAAGAGATTCAAGCAGGTTCTGGAAGTGGTTTATGGTATTGGAACAGGAACTCTGGAGCACCAAGCTCCTAGATAATATTTATCTTTTTTTGCTCTCTGAAAAAACAGGAACTTATCAGTTTATAAATAAAAAGAATTTTAACACAGGTAATTGGTTAAGCAAGTACAGAGAATTGAAAATGCAAAGGAGAATACACAAAGCTCTTATTTTCTGAATATTATGCTACCAATCCCAGCTATCAACAGTAGAGTTAAAATGATTTGGCAAAATCCTAAATTTTACTATGTAAGAGGGTAGTCAGAAGGAGATATTGCAGCCAACTGATACTAAAAGAAAGCCTGGATCTCCCTGTCCTTGCAGTGTGCTGACCCACAGCACCACTTAAATCATTCTGTCATTTCACACACTACTCTCTGGCTGGCAGTTTCCAGTTCTTCAGGATATTCGATATTACCTTTAGGATATTATCCTCCTCTTCAGGATATTCGTTGTAGGCAAAGGATCTCTTAGGAAATGTTGAGCAGAATGAAGAGGAAAGAGAAGAGTATGATGTGGACCAGGGATGCCAATGTCACCCTCACTCAACCTACTTAGAAATCTCCCAAGAGGCAGTCTTGTTCCTGGTCTGGGAGGAGTCCTCCAGTAGCAATATTGGCATACATACATACACACACACATATATTGTTTCTTAAACATATAATCATTAACTCTCAACACACACACAAAAATTTTTTCTTTGTTCCAACATAAAGAAAGCTCTTACATGGTGAAGGATATTAAAAATTATCCAGTAAATTCTAGTATTAGGTGGAGTTTCAGACTTTTTTTTTCAGATATATGTTTTTCAGCTAAATAATCAGAAAAGTCTCTTTTCTGATTAATAATTTTCTGATTAGTAATTTGTTAAAAAATAAACTGATGAAACATTAAAATGTTACCAAAAGTTTATCACTAGTATTTAGGAAATAAAATAAAGAACTTTCCATATCCATAAAAAAAAGTTGCAAGGAACCTATGTCAGAAATAGATAACCTTGAATTTTCCAGAAGATGGTGGTGGAGTCAATCAGACTAAGTGAGTCCTAGTGTGAGTGAGTGAGTAAATGGAAAATTTTGCATATGTGTCAGTGAGTAAGTGGGCATGTGAGTGGCTGAC